GGGGGAAGCCTGCAGGTATCTGCCATCTGTTGTGAAATACCTTATACGGCTCCCTTTCCAACACAATTTAATTTTGATGGATTTTGGTGTGTGTGTGTATGTCTACATTTTCTGGCTGGTTCCTTAATTTCCTCTTCCTTAAGGATTTCTCTCTCTCTCTCTCGAACTGTGTGTTTAAGAAATTTAACTAAGTAACTGTGGTTAAACTTAGCCCTGCAACTTACCTTGGGATCTTCTCCTGTGCAATTACGTTCCAGGAGCTTTTAGCGCCGCATATAAATTCTGGAGAATTAGCGGAGCCATAAAAAGATGAGGGTTGGAAGGAACCGAGATCTCTTTTCTCACCTCTGGGAATTAAATATTCACTTTGTGGAGCTGCACATTATAAGGGTCACTGGCTTGTTGGTGTCCATTAAGAGCAGCTGTATGCAACAGCTGGAAGAGGTATAGGAGACCCATTTCCCATAAGGGAGAGACCTACATGTACAATTTACTGAAAACCTCCCTCATTAAAGAAGGACGCTAATGCCAGAATGCACTCCGAAAAGGAAAGTTGCTGTAAATTTTCCATACAGAGGTGGCCATTTGCTCATGGGTGGCGCTTCATGAGAAGTATTGATTCCAGTAATGGATCACCAGCTCATTATATATATATAATATACCCATCAAGTTTAAAAGGGTTTATTTTTTCACTAACTACAGCAAAAATGCAAAGTAGGGTGGTGGTGGAGGAAGGAGACTTAACGTTTTTTAAAGCTGTAAAAGCACATCGACGCCGCTTTTTACCGCTAATGAGCATCTGAGGGAAATGAAAATTAAAACTTCACTCTTAAAACCCCAAAGGAGCAAAATTAAAAACTTGCATTCATATTGTTGTTATTGTAGTTGCTGTTATCTGCCATCAAATCAATTCTGACTTATAGTTATTCTATCTTAGGGTTTTCTTTGAGCGTTGGACTCTAATTCCGGAGACTAGGGTTCATTTCCAAGTTCGGCCATGAAACCCGCTGAGTGGCCTTGGGCTAGTCACACTCTCTCAGCCTCAGAGGAAGGCAATGACAAACCTCCTCTGAACAAATCTTGCCAAGAAAATCCCATGATAGGTTTTCCTTAGGGTTTCCATAAGTCGCAAACAATTTGAAGGCACACAACAACAGCAACAATTTATTCTCAGGAGGATTGCTTTCATTTTAGGCTGAGAGAGTGGGACTTACCCAAGGTTGAAGCTTGAAATTGTTAAAGGACTCATCAACTGACAGTAAATGCTTTGCATTTTGGTTGGCCCAATAAAGGTATCACTGGTGGATTTGTGTTGTTACTGGAATTGCTATATGGCCAACACGGCTATTCCTGGATGTTTTTTCTGGATTTCAAGATACTGCATTATAGCTGCAATAGGGGAATCCTAAAGAGACAGCCAGTGGACTGGGACTTTCCTATTTGAGGTTTCGACCTCCAATAAAGGTAAAACATTTCCTTCTCCTTAAATTTAGACTGCATTGGCATGTTTTACGTGAACACCACCCAAAGTTTCCCTGATGCAAAAAACACGAAGGCTTTTTGGGAAATCCAATGTCCTCCACCTACAAAAGGGGCCTGTAGCCTCACAAAGGATGGAGACCTGTTGGATTCCAAAGGAAGTTTCTTTTTTTGTGTTGCAAAGGATTTCCTGGAATTTGAGAATCTCCCAGTTGCCACATGGCCAGAAAGAGGAGGCACCAGCGTGCAAGATTTGCCCCTCCATACCATCTGAACTAGGAACAAAAAATGGCAAAATGCAAGCCTTTTGACTCGCATCTTCTCCTGTTAGGTTTGCAGCACCTTGCCTGATGAAGAATCCGGTGGAGCTTCGAAAGCTTGCAACATGTATATTGTGCATTTTGGTTGGCCAATAAAGGTATCATTGTTTGGTGGATTTTTGTTGCTACTAGAATTATTATATAGCCAACACAGCTACCCTTGGATGTTTTTTGGAGGCTGGTTAGCTCCCAAGTAATTGGAGCAGTGAATATGTTCTAGGCTTTAAAGACACTATGCAATATAGTGCATATATTTGGGAACCTGTCCCAAATAGGATCAATACCTTACATAGATCTTTTATACTTAAGGTTGAAACCCAGAGCAGATGCACTGCTCCACTGACATTAGATCCATCAGCTGGATGGATGATGTTTTTGTACCTTCATTGGAAGGTTGTGCATTTTGCTAGTTTCTTATTGAAACAAACCCACACGTGAGAGATGAGGCTTTCTTAGAAGACGAAATAATATAAAATATGCCTCTTTGTTTCCACTGATGCGCTGCTGATCAGAAAATACATTGGCTCCTCTAAATGTCATAATAGCTTTCCTAAGCAATATTTCTAAACGTCAAGCTAATATAGTTGGAAAGCAGTGGGAATTGCAACAACTCAGTGTGAGCTCCACTTACATCTGCTTCCATGAAGATGCTGGAAATAGTTTTGGACAGACTTAGCGGGGAATCAGTTTAGGAGTGCTGGCTTTTTTTTTTTTAATGAAAGGAGTAAAATTATTTATCACCCACTCCCTCTGTGTTGTAATCCTGTTTTTTAGACAAAGCCAGGAAACAAAATGACTCCTAAAATATTATCTGAGGGGGAAAAGACCTTTATAAAT